TGTTGCTTTAAAAAAATCTAAAATGTCAATATTCCATGGGTATAGTGATAAATGAGGTCTAAATTATAAGAAAATGCATTTTCTAGGAAAACTTGAAGAGATAGGTAAAAAATAGTATAAAACAATTTGATAGAAAATTAAATTGTGCATCTGATTCTCGTAAAATATACAGGGCGTTCTATTTAAATTAAACAAGTTATTGCCGTTTAAAGCTAGTAATTATTTAAAATAAATTTTTTGACACTCTGTATAAGGTGAAATAATTTTTATTATTGCAACACAATATCTGATCAATAAGTAATCTTCAGTAAATATTTAGTATTAAAAACTTTAATACCCTTGGAGAAATAAAGCCTTAAATTTGTTACTGCAATTTCACATAATTGAAAATATTTCAAAAATGGAAAAGTGTGATAAGCCTTAATCAAATTTACCTTTATTTCACTCGTAGAATCTAAAAATAAAATAAAATACATAGTGTTCCATTTAAAAAAATACAACTATAACATTTTTTACTTATTTGGGACACTAAATTCTAAAAATATTTTTAAATTGTAGCTCTAATAGCCCTTCAACGAACCTAAAATTTACAATTTGTAAAAGTCTAATCGTTTAGCTACAATACTCCGTGTCGTCTGTGGTGAACAACCCTGTATACAGGGTGGTCCCAACTGTATTCCGGAAACTTCGGCAGCATATTCTGCAGATAAAAATAAGTAAAAAAGTTCGTTTAAATGTATGTCCTAAAATGCCTAGTTTCGTAGATACAGGGTGTAGAACTTTCATTTTTATTTCGATTTTTTCCAAATAATTTATGAAGTAACGTCAATATTTGGATGAAAATTGGTGTCTGGGAGTTTTTTGACATGAGAAATTCGATTTTCATGTCAATATGACTCCTACTTGTAGAGGGCGCCACCTACATATTTTTTAACTGGTTTGAAGAGTAATAACTTTTCGTCCATACCTGTATAAAACTACTGAGTAAAAAAATATACATCCTCGATTTTTTTTACATAAAAAAGGTCTCTTGGTAAAAATCGCTAAGAGTAATGGTTCTCGAGATATTTGGAATCGAAATTATCAATACCTGTCATCACTGACATAATTAAACACGTTGACTAAATAGTTATTAAACTGAAATCATGAATTTGTTGCCAAAAGTTCAACAGAAATTGTTTAATCATCATTTTTTCGCAGAAAAAATTATGATTAATTTAAAAAAATATAAATTTATTATTTCAGTCAAATAGCTATACTCAACACGTGTGCTTATTTTTGTCAATAATGACATGTATTGACTATTTCCATTCTACATATCTTGAGAACGGTTGCTCGTAAAAAGTCATGGAAATGTATATTTTTGCAGTCAGTAGTTTTATACAGGTACGGACGAAAAATTATTACTCTTCAAAACAGTTAAAATCAAGGGTTCAAATACATGTAGGTGGCGCCCCCTACAAATAGGAGTCATTTTGACATCAAAATCAAATTTCTCGTGTCACAAAACTCAAAAACACCAATATTCATCGAAATATTGACGTTACTTTAGAAATTATTTGGAAAAAATCGAAATAAAAATAAAACTTCTACACCCTGTATCTTCGAAACTAAGCATTTTAGAACATACATTTATACGAACTTTTTTAGTTATGTTTATCTGCAGAATATGCTGCCGAAGTTTCCGGAATACAGTTCGGACCACCCTGTATATGAATAACAAATTTAATAACTACCAACATTGACAACGTAAAATAAAACAAGAAATTATTGAGTTTACCCTATATAATATTTGTACACGTTTTGAATAAAATTAGAACGGCACTGATAAATCGGAATTTAAGTCGGCCATTTTTTGGTCCGCATCGCACTTGAGCTTTTTTGATAAAATATGCTCCTTCCTTAACCTTTTTATTCAATTCCTACAATTTTTCATACTTATTCATTTACACCCTGTATGTTCTTCTAAATAGGCGGTTGAAGCGTAGTGCTAGCCACATTACCTTCCTTGTATACCGAACGGTTCTAGTATGGCAAGCTGTACCTTGCTACTCCCAAGGCGTTGAACGCTATATACGGGAGACTATTATATATATATATATATATATATATATATATATATATATATATATATATATATATATATATATATATATATATATATATATATATATGTTCTTCTTTTCAAAGACCGTGACAAATCAACTACAATACGCACTAAAACTGAAACACTGTGACCACTCAAACAGATACATTCTTAAAGAGAAATGGTAAAGTCAAGATTAGTTTTCCATAGACATGTTTAGTTCAATAGCCATTAGAATATTAACGAAGCACACAGCACTAAACATTTAGACAATACTCTCGAGGGAGTCATTGTGAGCAAATATCAATCAGCTAGAGCATAGTTCCAGCCCAGAATATATCCTATTATTTCCCATTGTCTTATATATCTCCTATATAGAGCTTTGGAAATAGTCGTTAAAATACACAACGACCTGATAAGAGGATTTTGCTCCGAAAGATAAAATTAACTGGCTATTCGGCGAGTAAAATTTAGGGTTATTTACCACCTAATACCCGCAAGGGATGGGTCATTGATCAAATATCTGACAGGGGTGTTCATAAAGGATATTTAGGGCTACAAAATTGCCATGTTAGGTACATTATTTTTTCTAATATTTTAATTAATTGAACTAGAGGCAGAAGAAAGGTTTTAGCACGCGATTTGGGATTTTGCAGAAATTTGATCAAAAATATACTGTGTGACACCGAAGAATCAATCATTAAAATCTTTTTTTTTTATACTGGGTTATTCACCTCATTCGACACCGAGTATTGTAGCCAAACAATTAAATTTTCACAAATTGTAAGTTTTGGCTTCCTTGAAGGACTATTAGAGCTTCAATTTAAAAATATTTTTAAGATACAGAGTATCCCAAATAAATAAAAAATATTAAAGTTGTATTTTTTTAAATAGATTATTACATGTTTAATTAGATATTAATTATAAATAGATATTATTATATTTTTAATTTTTACGATTAAAATAAAGATAAATTTGATTAAGGTTTATCGCACTTAAATCTTACCATTTTTGAAATATTCACTATTTTGTCAAAATGCAGTAACAATTTTAATGCTTCATTTCACTAGGCGTATTTTAGTTTTTAAAATCAAATATTGTAGTGAAGTTTTTCTGTTTTCTAAAAAAATTCTTTTTTGTGTTACAATAATAAAAATAATACTACTTTATTCAGAGTGTCTAACATATATTTTAAATAATTTCTACCTTTAAACAGCAATAACTTCTTCAATTTAAATGGAATACCCTGCATATTTTACGTGAATCAGATGTACAATTTAATTGTCTATCAAATTGTATTATACCATTTTTAACTGTCTCTTCGAATGTATTTTCTTATAATTTAGACCTCATTTATCAATATACCCATGCAATAATGACATTTGAGAATTTTTTCTTAAAAGTGACAAATTTACAATATGTACCTACAGATGCTAGAAACGATAATATTGCTAGCCCGTTTTTACAAAAAGAAAACTATTTAAATCTTTGTAAAGGAGTATACCATTAATTAAATGTTCCATCATTATTTCCGCCCAAATATTAATTAATTACAGACTAATTTGCGTTAGTTATAAATTATTCTAAATAATAGTTATGGATATGAATGAGACATCAATATGTTAATTAGTTACGAATCTGAACATCTCTGTTGTTATAAATAAGCATTCGTCAAAAAATTACATAAAATTTAGAAGGTGTTCCTATTTACCATATCGTCTAATACACATACAAAATTCATTTTTTTAGTCTTTGAAGCAATTATTAATCACCGCAAATAGTCAATTAATGTAGTTTGAATGCTGGGATCATATTATTTGGTCTTCTTTTACAACTATTTAAATAATTTTTATTTTTTAAGGAAATATGCGAACTATATCGACAATATTAGTATCTTTATCTTTAGAAAATTTCCTACATCTTTAAAAATTATATAAAATGTCAATATTCCATGGGTATATAGATAAATGAGGTCAAAATTATAGGAAAATACACTTTTTGCGAAAACTTGAGGATATAGGTAAAAAATGGTATAATACAATTTGATAGATAATTAAATTGTGTATCTGGTTAACGAAAATATACACAGTATTCCATTTAAATTTAATAAGTTATTGCTGTTTAAAGCTAGTAATTATTTAAAATGAAATTGTAGACGCTCTGTATAAGGTAGTATTATTTTTATTATTACACAAAACATAGAAAATAGAAAATCTTCAGTACAATATTTGGTTTGAAAGCTCTAAGTACGCCTAGGGAAATAAAGCATTAAAATTGGTACTGCATTTTCACAAAATCGTAAATATTTCAAAAACGATAAGATCAAAGTCCGGTAAACCTTAATCAAATTTACCTTCATTTTCATCGTAGAAACTAAAAATGTAGTAATATACAGGGTGTTCCATTTAAAAAAAATAAAACTTTGATATTTTTTATTTATTTGGGACGCTCTGTACATTTTGCAAATCATTTTAAATTGTAACTAACTAACTAAGATTTTAAGAGCGTCCAAACCACATGAGTCGCCTGGCTTTCGAAGCGGAAGCGTCTCGAACTCCGAGCGAATCTCCCTCTACTCTATCTTCGTATAGGTAAATAATAGTAACAATCACCTCGACTTCGCATCCACCGCCAAACGACCCGTACGTGGACCTACTATTATTTACGTAGGTAGTAGAGTAGAGGAAGATTTTTTCCTTCCAAGTTCGAAACGCTTACGCTTCCGCTTCAAGTTGGAGACGACCTAATAGTCCACGATCTAATAATGGTGCACGGCCGTTGAGTCCTACCACGAACCCAAAACTTACAACTTGTAAAGATCGAATCGTTTGGCTAAAATACCCCTTATCGAATGAGGAGAATAACTCTGTATATTTCGAATCATCGTTTAATTTCGCTTTGTCTGTTTTTCCAGCTATACCCGAGAAGCCTCCGGTGCTGAGGGGCGTGAACAAGTTCTACGCCTTGGGCGACACGCTGGAAGCGACCTGCAGCTCGGATTTCGGCGATCCCGAACCCAATCTCACCATTTACTTAAACAAGATGCCGGTAAGATTGTTTATTACGCTCTACTTTTGAGCTGGACTATTGGAAAACAGCTCACGACGATACGCGTCGAATAACCAATCGAAATATTTAAGCTTTGTAGAAATAGTTCTCGTTTGGGACTCGTCGTACATTTTTCTTGCTCAAGGAACGTGTAATGTTCGTTTAGTAAGATTGTACAGAGTGGCTCAATTTTCTAAAAACACACACCCTAAGTTCTTATGTTTGTAAATAAAAATAAAATGCTTTTCCAAACTCTAAATAAAAATCATATATGTATACAGGTGGTCCGAACTGTATTCCGAAAACTTTGGCAACATATTCTGCAGATAAAAATAAGGAAAAAAGTTCGTACAAATGTATGTCCTAAAATGCTTAGTCTCGGAGATACACAGTGTAGAAGTTTAATTTTTATTTCTATTTTTTCTAAATCATTTCTGAAGTAACCGCAATATTTGGATGAAAATTAGTTTCTAGGAGTTTTTCGATGAATGAGAAATTTGATTTTGATGTCAAAATGACTCCAACTTGTAGAGGGCGCCACCTGCATATTTTTTAACTGGTTTGAAGAGTAATAACTTTTCGTCCGTACCTGCATAAAACTGCTGAGTAAAAAATATACTTTTGCAACATTTTTTACGTAAAAAAGGTATCTTGGTAAAAATCGCTACGAGTCATGGTTCTCAAGATATTTGGAATCGAAATTATCATTACCTGTCATCATTGACATAAATTAAACATGTTGACTAAATAGCTATTAGACTGAAATTATAAATTTGAAATGTTTTTGTGTCCAAAGTTCAAGAGAAACTGTTTTATCATCATTTTTTTGAAGAAAAATTTATGATTAATTTAAAAAAATAAAAAGTTGACAAATTTATCATTTCAGTCAAATAACTATCTACTCAACATATGTTTATTTTTTGTCAATAATGGCATGTATTGACTATTTCCATTCTAAATATCTTGAGAACGGTTGCTCGTAAAGATTTTTATCAAGAGATGTTTTTTACATAAAAAATCACGAAACTGTATATTTTTCCACTCAGTCGTTTTATACAGGTACGGACGAACAGTTATTACTTTTCAAAACAGTTACAGCACAGGTAGGTGGCGCCCTCTACAAAGAGAACTCATATTGACATCAAAATCAAATTTGCCATGACAAAAAACTCCCAGATACCTATTTTCATCCAAATATTGACGTTACTTCAGAAATTATTTGAAGAAAATCAAAATAAAAATGATACTTCTACACCCTGTATCTCCCAAACTAAGCATTTTAGGACATACATTTATATTAACTTTTTAACTTATTTTTATCTGCAGAATATGCTGTCAAAGTTTCCGGAATACAGTTCGAACCACCATGTATACAGAGTGAATCTCCTACGATGTTCTCTATTATATGATATAACAATTATTGGCTATAACTGAGTAACTTTTCGAAAATAACATATTAGATATGGCTAACTATATGGTTTCCATTTAAAAAAAAAACATATGTTTGTGTCACATGTCAAAAATGACATGTTTTAGAAACAATCGGAAAACACAAACTCATTAGGGATGTGATAATCTACAACTTTTATCTGAAATCTTTTTGTCTAAAATAGATCATAATGGAATTACGGACAATTTTTAAAATAGGCAAATTTTTTTTTCAAAATATCTAGTAAGCCATATACTTTTCAAAAATCTGAAAGGCGCATATTTATGACCCCACAAAATTGAAAGTCTTTCCCCTTTTAACCGACTCTCTATATCCAGTAGTTTCCTAGATACTCATAGAGAACATCATAGGAAACTCACCTTGTATACAGGGTTTTTCATCACATACGACACGGAGTGTTGTAGCTAAACGATTAGATTTTTACAAATTGTAAGTCTTGGGTTCGTTGAAGGTTTATTAAAGCTACAATTTAAAAATATTTTTATACGATACAGAGTGTCCCAAATAAGTAAAAAATATTATAGTTGTATTTTTTTAAATGTAACACCTTGTATATTATTCTATTTTTAGATTCTACGATTGAAATAAAGGTAAATTTGATTAAGGTATATCACATTTAAACCTTACCATTTTTGAAATATTTTCAATTTTGTGAAATTGCAGTAAAAAATTTAAGGCTTCATTTCTCCAAGGGTGTCAAAGTTTTTAATACTACATATTTACTGAAGATTGTTTGAATCTAAAAATAGAATAATATACAGGGTATTCCATTTAAAAAAAATCAACTATAATATTGTTTACATATTTGGGACACTCTGTATCTTGTAAAAATAAGTTTAAATTGTAGCTTTAATAGTCCTTCAACGAACTCAAAACTTACAATTTGTAAAATTCTAATCGTTTAGCTACAATACTCCGTGTCGTATGTGGTGAACAACCCTGTATACTACTTACTCGGGCGGAGTATCTTTGCTATCCATTGAATATCATCGCCTTGAACTTACCGAAAGAAACCCAGAGTATACCGGGTGTTTTTAAAAAGTGGCCCATCCAAATAACTTTTTAATTTTTTTATATAAAAAAATGACTTTTGGTATGTTGAGTATAATAAATGACTAAAGTTCAAAATGTCAAATTTTCACATTATTTTCAATTAAATAAGTAAATAAATAAAAATTATTTACTGCGTAAAAATGCATTATAATACATAATTGTACACAAAGGGTAAGAGATTTGGCGTTCTAAGCTAAGCTGCTAATATACTAAATGTTTTATTAAATAATAGCAATTTAAATTTCAATCTAGAGTACGATGGCCATAAATGTAACGACATTTTGACTCGAAATTATGAAACTCAGAAGTATGTAATACCGAAAGTATATGACTCGAAAGTATGTGGTACCAAATAATTTACGCCTTTTACCAAATATGCTAATAACCTTCGTTCCATTTGAAAAAATGGAGTTAATAAAAATACGATATAGGTATCTTTTAACAAACGAAGAAAACATTCGAACTTTAATTCATCTAAGACACTCTTCTGAAGATACTCTCACATCATCAAAATATTTGACCAATGCAAGTGACAATGTTGCCACGTTTTCTGTTTTTACTTTGACTTTTGACAAGTATCAAATGTATGCTAATAAGCTACCGCCAAATGTGCAAAATATGCTAATAAACTACCCGCGGTCTATTTGGAAAAATTGAGTTATGATTAAATATTCGATTGGGGGATCTATTGGGGGCAAACTTCGCGAAAAATATTAGACTATCAAACTTATGTTTCCCTTTCTTTTTTTGCTGTTTGCTTAAAAATGGTTTTAATACAGCGACTTTCGAGACTGAAATTTAGAATACTATTTTTTTAAGTAAAAATGTTAAAAATTGACATATTATGATATGTCATTCTATTCAGAATGTCGTTTTCGATCAAATATAGTAAGAAAATATCGAGGGTACTATTTAAAAACCAAAACTTGTCGTCATTTCCGGTGAAACAGGAAGTGACTGAACCTAATTGAATAGATCAGTTAGTCCTGATTTACGTCGTTTGCTAATATACTAAATGGTTTTATTATCTGAAAAAATAAAAAAGTTATTGAGTGAGCCACATTTGAAAAACCCCGTATACAGGGTGGTCCGAACTGTATTCCGGAAACTTTGGCAACATATTCTGCAGATAAAAATAAGTAAAAAAGTTCGTATAAATGTATATCCTAAAATGCTTAGTTTCAGAGATACAGGGTGTAGAAGTTTCATTTCTATTTCGATTTTTTCCAAATAATTTCTGAAGTAACGTCAATATTTCGATGAAAATTGGTGTCTGGAAGTTGTTTGACATGAGGAAATTGATTTTGATGTCAATATGACTCCTACTAGCAGAGGGCGCCACCTACATATTTTTTAACTGGTTTGAAGAGTAATAACTTTTTGCCAGTACCTGTATAAAACTACTGAGTAAAAAAATATATTACGACGTTTTTCTCGTGAAAAAGGTCTCTTGGTAAAAACCTCTACGAGTAATGGTTTTCGAGATATTTGGAATAGAAATTATCAATACCTGTCATCATTGACATAAATTAAATATGTTGACTAAATAGTTATTAGACTCAAATCATAAATTTGAAATGTTTTGTGCCAAATGTTTAACAGAAACTGTTTTATCATCATTTTTTGCAGAAAAATATATGATTAAGTTAAAAAAATAAAAATTTCCCAAATTTATTTATTTCAGTGAAATAACTGTCTAACTTATTAACTTAGTGAAATAACTATCTAACTTTTTTACAAAAAGATATTTTTTTACGTAAAAAATCATAGAGATCTATATTTTTTTGCTCGGTAGTTTTATACAGGTACGAACAAAAAGTTATTACGCTTCAAAACAGTTAAAACACACGTAGGTCGCGCCTTCTACTAGTAAGAGTCATATTGACATCAAAATCACATTTTTCATGCCAAAAAACTCCCAGACACCAATTTTCATCCAAATACTAACGTTATTTCAGAAATTATTTAGAAAAAATCCAAATAAAAATGAAACTTCTACAGCCTGTATCTCTGAAACTAAGCATTTTAGGACATACATTTATACGAAATTTTTTACTTTTTTTTATCTGCCGAAGTTTCCGGAATACAGTTCGGACCACCCTGTATATCATCATTTTTTAAATAATAACTTTATTGACTTTATTTTACGACTTTAATTAAGTGCCCTAAAGAATATAATATCAAGATATTTTTTCCAAAAATATTTCCATTTTTAACTGCGTGGGTGACATAAAACGAGACATTTGCGTCGCCGAATATCGCCATATGTATACGTAAGAGGACGCGACCGTCGGATTCAAAAGAGATAATATAAATGCCGCCCGGAAAAAAAAATCAGAATTCAGAGAATGTAAAAACGGCCAGCTATTGTTAGGTTTTGGGTGGGTTTCGGAGCCATTGACAAAAGGGACTGAACAAAAAAAAAGAAAATAAACTGAATTTTTTTGCGACTTCTCGTTTTAAATAATATATTAGAATTTAAGAATATACAGAAGGA